AACAGTATACTGTATAAAATTAATAACTACACAGTATAGGCAATAAAAACCATACCATACATACAATGGGGTTATATCATACTCATTATCGTATTACCGAAAAAAAAGTGACAATTTATTAATAAATTATAGAAATCAGGATTGCTAATAATTCCCCTAAACTTTAATTTCCTTTAATAATTGGACGGAAAAAAGTAGATGAATAATTGATAATCATTTCCTTTTTATGCTGTTGTACGAAATAAATATAAATGATGAAAATAAAATAATAAAATGAAAATTTATTTGGAAACGTTTCAACATATGACAAACACAATTTCATTCAATAAATTAATCAAAAAGAAATCATTCAAAGAACATCTAAAATTATAAATTCAGTATATCATTTTATTTTACCAAGAGCAATCATGATGATTCATTGGTTTCAACATTTTATCCTTTTTAAATTCTTATTTTATTATTGCAAAGTCTTTATTTATTCTAATTTAATTTGTAATAAAAGAAAAATTTTTTTCGTTCCGATTTCAAAATTCGCATTATATGGTATACATGTATTTTCTTTTCATAAAAAAAAAAAAAAAAATTTTTTACTATATTGTAAAAAACAGTATTGTAATGTATCATTATTACCGCCCAACGCCACATTCGAGATTTCTTCAAATGCAAAAATTAAAAAATATATATATATGTTTCTTTTAGATCCAAATGAAAATAAATTTTTACTCCCTTTTCGTAATTATAATTATACAATTTGGAAATTCAACGTTATTGTTTAATATCTCGTATTATATTTAATGTTTATTCGCGTCTATTACATAAATTATTCTGAAAGTGAGGTGAAAGAAAATTTCGGTTCGGTAAATCGTGGAACCGATACTACTGGCCAAACTGTGTAACTGCGGTTCGGCTCGATATTTACCGAAACCGCTATTAACTTGAAACACATTAAACACATGTCCGCCAGACATGTGTCAGGCTGATGGGTGTCAGGCTGACTGCGCATGCGCCGCGCCAAATAGAAACGTCACGTTATATAAATTTTTTTTTTAATAAAGCGACAGCCTCTGATCGCGTGATACTCTGATACATCCAATAAGAACATCTCTCAAAGACAAAAAAAAGAGACGAAAAAACTAATATTTTTTTCTTAAAAATATTCTAATTAAAAAATTATTTATTATATTACTTTTATAATAAGATTATTTAAAAAGTAATTCTTTAAATTTATATAATTTATATTAAATTTAATAAACAAATATAAAAAACCATTTTTAAAGAAAATAATTTTTTAGTAAAAAATGCTAGTTATTTCGTCATGAATATTTGAGCCAGCTTGATAAAATTAATATCTAAGTAATTTTACACTGCAGAATGAATTTAACCTCTAGAATCAAGACTTGTTCTATGCTAAAACTACACTGTAAAGTGAAAAAAAATCGTTCATGCACTGCATTATAATTCTATACAAAATTTTTCATAGTTTAGAGAATATTCAAGCTATAATCATGGCGGATTTATGAAATACCCAAAATTAGTACGTCATGTCAAATTAAATAAATATTCGACAGTATTTTAGTCACCAAATTTCTATTTAAGTCCCAAATTTATTAGTGAACAGTCAAAAATGAGCCAAAAAAATTTTTTTGTATCCCAAATCTTGCGTCTAACCAATTTTCCCAATATCTAACCAATTTTTCCAGTGTTAAAGGCGCGTCATTATTTGACATTTTTTTAGGAAAAAAGCTTAATGTTTCTGAAAGTCAATTTTAATTCCCGAGGGCACAGCAGGGTTTTTAAATTTCATAAATCCGCCGCAGTGTCTAATATTTGAGTAGTTCCATACATACCGAACAACTTTAGTTAAATTGAAACAAGGTCTAAGAAGACTAAGTAAAGTACTGAAATTATGCTATAAAATTGAAAAATAAATCTAGAACAATAATTTCATTAATAAATATCTGTTTTCACAAAAATTTAAGAAATATTAATAAAAACTAATATGAGTGGGTTCATACTTGTTAAATAACTCTACTTAGTTTCCTTACATTTGACTAAAGTGAATATTAAAAAATCTATTAAAAAACGCGTATATTATGACTTATATAACAATATTCCATATTTAAAAATTTTTAAGATATTTATTTTTAAGCAATATTTTAGCACGAAATAGAAAAGAGGGATAACGAGTGATTGTCTGCTGCGCCACCAACCTGGGCGTAAGATGTGACGAATAACAATCCAATACGCTAAGGTAAATATAAACAGTGCTGAACTGAATATCACGTGATATGTGCCAGTTAAACATAACACCTTACGTGATTACATAATGTTGCTCAAATTCAATTGTAACAATATCCAATTATTAATTAGTACTTCGGCAACTGTACCGTAGTTATATCTAGATAGTTCGATATATAAATAGAATTATAGGTAAGTAACTTATAGACTCAAACGGAATACACCGAGGATGAAACAGCTCTTTAGTTCTACGGAAATTCGTTTCCTTTTGAGTTGTACAACTCGACGGTTTTTTTTCTTTTGTTGTATTATGTATTATTGAGTAATAACGGATAATTGATTTTCCTATCTACCGATTTATCCCTTTAATAACAGTAAGCATTTGTTTTTATATAGTTACAATAAAAGCCGTAAACAATGGTAATATTAATAATAATTATTTATCAAACATTCAAACTTATGTTTTTCAAATTAATGCCCAGAAATTGATCATTTTAATATAGTAATACGATTCATGTATCAGTATCATATGATGTCTTTGTAACCTGAATCTTCGTGCTTTTGTAATGCTTTCACATGATGTACATGATGTGAAAATTTTTTATCATGTAGATCTTTCCAGAATTTTTTGTATTTAAAATCGTAAAAAAAGTCTTTGTATTTCATTCAATAAATGTTGCACAGTTATTTCTTGAAAGTTTTTAAGATAATTGAAAAACATAGTATAAAGTAAAAAACATTTTACAATCGGAACCCATGGAATACTTTTTCCGTTAAATCCGAAGAACTTTTATTTATAGACAAATTTGAATTCTAAATTCATGCTTTTTGTATATTGTGATTTTTGTGATTATGAATTCGTTCTATACACATTAGGCGTATACTGGCACAATTGTTGGGGAATTTTACAACTTTTGATCAATTATTAAGTTTCCATAAACGAATTATTCATACTAATTTTTTTTTAATTGTTCAAAGTTGTGATTTTTTTTGGCTGGTTGTACACAAATCTAAATAATGCGACCTTTTTAATGTATAGCTTCGGGGTTCTGAATTTAACTATTATGGGAAATTTTATTTGTTCAAGCATAAGTTACGAATTTTACCGTTAATCAATCTTTGATGGTATTCATGCATAATCAAGTTTGCAATATTGTGTACGCAAACAATTAGTAAATCGTACAAAATATATTGATAAGTTTGTTACACGAACTAAACATTAGTTATTTTAAATAAATATTACAGCTCGTGTGATGTAACACAAGACCTACGTACATATTTCTTCGTTGTTTAAAGATATTAAAAAATTTTAGATTATATGTACGGACATGTAAATTAAGAATTATCGATCATATGGTCTTTATTTGCCCGATCAATTAAAGTTAGCCTAAAACTTTTTTTTTTTATTAACCTTAATAAAGCTTATTATCTTACATTTTTTCATTGATCATGCTTTCACAAATGAAGTCATCCAAGTGAAAATCTTTCAATATTGTTGTTTGAATAATGGTTTTAAAGATAATAAAGGTTCTGTCGTACTTAAAAAAATTTATTTCCTCTGATTTTTTTATATACTTAATTACAATAACTGTGATCCCAACTCAACGTGTTAATGTTATTATTTTATCTTGTATAAAAAAAATCACTTCTTTTGAAGTAATGTAAAACATATGGCTACACATATATAAAAAAAAAAATTACGGCTTTATGTTCAGACACAAATAAACTTCCTTTTTTCTTTCACATTTTTTATTTTATTTATGTCGATGTTTTTAAACCGGCAGAAATGACTTCATAATTTTATTTTCTTTGTTAAATTCCTTTTTTGTTATAAAATCGAAATCTTTTAATAAAAAACTTTTTAGAGAGTACCCTCATAATGGCTAGTATTAACAACGGCAAATATGACATTTTACGAAAATTAAGGGTAGTACGAATAGTAAAAGTTCCGTTATTTGCATGACTCGTATCTGCACAAATGCATAAAGTCACGCTACGTCGTTACACGGTAAGTCATTTATAATTTACAGTATGAAAAATTTTACTGAAAAAAATTAATATTATCAATAAGCCATATTATAATTTATAAAATGCGAAATTATCGTGACTACTCGGATATTAGTTTCAAAGGACGGACTTATCATTATCGAACCTCATTTGTCTTTGTATACTAAAAACTGGAATTATCATATATGTGTGCACTTCTGCTAAATTTAGTTAATAATCATGCGATGAAAAATCTAAGTATATCAGAAAATTTTCCAAATTCAAGATTTCTACAATAATAAAATCATTAATAAAAGGTAAAATATTTCCTTCTAAATTATACTACTTTTTTATGTAGCTTTACTAACTTCACTTTAATGGTAGTCGACTAATTATAAGTATCTACATTCTACCGCCGGTTATTTATAAAAATTCTTTGCCAACACGACAACGGGTATTTTATTAAATCCGGAAATTATTAACGACTATAATGAAAGTTTACTTGCATATAGATATGGTGTAAACTTGTAAACTAGCAAAATAGTCATTAAAGTATTAATGAAAAAAAGGGTTGACCTTTTTTAATATTGAAAGAGAGCAGAAAATTGCAATTAGTAAAAAGTATAGTATTCCATAACACATTATCTTTGACAACATTCTTTTTAAAATAATATTTTATTTTAAATGTACTGGTTAGTAGATTACAATATACGATAAATTGAATAAAGAAATAAAACAAGTACAAAAATATAAGTAAATAAAAAAGCTAAACGAATCCTCAATATCCTAAATTTCTACATATTTTTTAATTTATTGTTTAAATTGAGTTTGTAAATTATCAGTGATAGAATGATTCGGGTAAAAATCTTGTTGACGATTTGGCATAATGATAACGTATGTTTGAGGAGAATTTATAACAATACCAAGTGAATTAAGTGAAGGAAAGACATTAGTTTGAGGCGAATTTTGATCAATGTATTGCGGGTGGAATTGTGGTGGCGGAGGTGAAGTAGTATTATTAAACATAGATTGCTGATATTTGTCGTTGGGAGAGATATTAATATTATTGTCTGAACCGTCATTAAAAATTGATTGCTGATAATTAGTATTGCCAGGAGAAATAATGTCGTTATTGTTTGAAATACTGTGAGACATAGTACTATGATCAAGAGAAATGGTCGCATGCGCAACAGAAAAATTATTATTATTCATCGCGGAAGCATCATAATTACAGTTACAAGAAGGATCGTTGCAGTTAATATTTTCCGCTTGAATAAAAGTTTCTGCAGTTGGTTGCGATAACCTATTGCATTTATGATTAGTGAATCCAGTTAAATTGGATTCATGAGCACTATTGTCAATATTTTCTTGTGAATGATACATATTAATATATTTTAAGTTTAATGAAATGTTGAAAAATGATAATTGCTGGGCAATTGTTGTGGGTTTAAATAAAAAAATAATGATCATCATTGACTCGGTGCTAACTCGGATCCAAATCAAAATCAATGATATCAAATAAAGTTAAATGGCATCTCAAATATGAATATTTCTTTTTTAAAATGGAAATACCTATTTTGGCCTCAGAACAGGTTTGAGAAAAAATAAACAATTAGGATAACTATTAGACAACGTTAAATGATTTTAAAGTTTTCAAGGCTATAGAATAAGCGATAATAAAAAAAAAAAATCAAAAAACCAAAAGGATAAGATGTGATACAAAAAAAAATGAAAGACCATTAATTAGTATATGAAAGGAGTTTATTTTTCTTTCAATATAAAAATAGAATTAATTTACTGTATAAGTCTCAAACATCATATTTACGTATTATATACATATATTTTATTTCTATTAAATAATATATTACAGTATATACTGTATAACCTTAAATCTAATCTAATTTTATGTAAAATAAAATCAATAAAATTTGCTTTTAACCAAGTTTATGGAATTTTGTATTTTAATATTATCAATTTATCCATTTAATAAATTTCACACTTGATCTACAAAGAAAAGAATAAAAATTTTTTTTTTTAGGCAAATATACATTTTTTTAAGGAATTAAGAAAATTTTATTTTAGTTAATAATATGTAACATCATGAACTTGTTACGTATACCTAGAATAACACACTCTATATACTGTATTTTTTATTATTATTATTTAATTATAAAATGTGTAAAATTTTAAATTTATTCATAATCAGCAGTTATATTTTATTATTATTTCTTTTTTTAAAAAAAACATATATATATAATTTACTACTAAATGTAAATAAATAACTGCCATGATAAGGATATTTAGACCTTGTAGTTCTTTTTTTTTTTTGAAGGAATTTATTATCTGTTTGTTTCTTTACTAGAATTAGATTTTTCCTTTGTTGATAAATTTTAAAGGGCGTCTTTTTAAAATAATGAAGTAAACGGAATAAATTTGGGGTTATTTCCGTTTCATCATTGATTTACTAAATATAATCTAATTAAAAATGCGTGATCATCATCTCTCGTTACCATAGAAAAAAATATTTATTTTTAATTTTATGGTAAATTAGTATCTGGTATAAATTGTTAAAAACAAGTTCAAACTTGTTTATATAAATCACAGCTCAAAAATTTAATTATATTATCAATAACTAGTATATAATAAGTATATATGTGATAATAAAGTTTATACCGTAAAGTCCCGAATAATCAAGCACCCCTTACTAGAATTATGCCAATTTTGGCCTACATTATGATGTGCTCGGCCGGCATTACGTGCGAAAAAGTGCTTATTGTCGGGACTTTACGGTATTTTATATCAATTGAAAGTGTTCTGCAAGTTTCGGCCCTATGATGTGGGATCGGTCACACAAAAATTTTTTTATTATACTTAAAAGTCATTAACACGAAATTTCATTTTTTTGAGCAACGTAAACAATACAGTATCACATAAGAAAGTCACGGGAGGTTTGAAGTAAAAACTTCCTTTTTTCTTTATTTGGGTTTTACAGTATTTATCATAATATTATTTTCAAATAAACAAATCGAAATTTTTTTTTTCTGTATGACAATAACAAAGGTCACTTTGCGTTTTATCGTTAGATTTCTATTCCGAATTTATTATTTTTATTATTATTACAAGAAAAGACATACCTTATATTGCGGCCCACCCCTTCTTTCACTCGAAAAAGGTGCCATTTTCTATTGACCATTATTTAAAGAATCTAATTTACCCAGATATTGCATTTTTTCATAATACAATTCATGGTGGTACAAAGTCAACCTTTTGAAGTTTGTGACTAAAAATAATACGTAAATCCTATTTAAGATAACCATTCTGTAGCCTAATTCTAGAATTATTGTTATAATAAGCAATCGACCCTGAAAATTCGTTATGAATAATCTCAAAGATAACGGATCGCCCTAAAGTTCAATATTTGGACTTTGAAATTTTACTCAGAAATTTTTCGAAACTATCGGAAATTTCCGAAAAGTGATATAAAAAAATCACGTCATCCTTTTATTATTCACGTCAATGATTACAGCTATTTGCAAAAATAACGGACCACCTAATTCGATTTTCGACTGCGTATGAAATTTTCATACGCAGCCATACGCAGTCATACACGCATAGTAAACTGCTAGAATTATGTGATATAACTGCGGATGACTGCATATGAAAAATTAAAAAAATGAGTTTGACGGTCCGGGCAGATATTACCATGCGTATGACTGCGTATGAAAATTTCATATGCAGTCGAAAAATGAATTAGGTGGTCCGTTATTTTCGCAAATAGCTGTAATAATATAAAAATTTTTTTGTAGGAATAAAAATATAGGGTAGATCATGTGGTTATGTACCATTAGTTAACTACCCCAACGGCACCCAGAAAATTCTTCGAACTCGGCCGGCGTTATGCACTGTCACGTGATCGAAGAATGAGGATGTGATGAATAAAACGTGACAAATAGAATTTCATCTACTTGAAAAATCTAAGTCCCTCAGATAAATATAAACAGTGAAACTCGGACAGGGTGTGACGATGTGGTAAATAAAAATAGATCACGTGATCGAAGAATTTTCTGGGTGCTGTTGGGTTATATACCATTAGTTGTCGTATAATTTAGCGATCTTCCCGTCCGATAGATAAAATTGTCTAATAAATAACGCACGTATTGGTAAAGACACTTATTTATGTACAATATAATTATTTTTTTCACTATTGCTAAAAATGAAATTTTCTAATCCATACGTTTCGTTACGATGTAACTTCTTTTTATTATGAGTTACGTAACTCCACTTTATTATGGAGCTTATTTGCATTGTAATTTAATCTTGCAAAGTCCGCTTATATTGTAATCCCAACTACTAATTTTTTTTGTATAATCGTCCTTTTTTCAAGAATTAGCCTGATTAAACAAATAAGAAAATTGACGTATTTTTCTTTTTGAAATTTCTATATCAATTCGTTTAATTAATTATTGTTGTTCAATTGACATCTAAATCAATAGAACTAGTTTTTTTAACGACTTAAAATTACCGTAAATATGTTATAAAAATAATACTTCAAGATTCATAATCTATTATCCTTATTGAATAATTTACTATTTAACAAAAATATTAATGGCGTGGTTGGTACAATCAAGGCAATCATTAATGCACAACCTCGAATATAATAGTACAGTAATATAATACATGAACCATATTTAAACCACCACGTAATTTGAAGCTTATTATTGAACACTATAATAACTAATATTCAATTTCTTTAAATATAGGGTTACAAGATGCAAACATATGAGTTCTCAGTAAAAAGATTTATAATAAAATAAAACTAAAACTATGACAAAATTTTAATTAGTACCATATAACAAACTTTGTAAATTCACCAAACGTGCTAAACTAAGATGTTGGTTATAAATATTGTATTACCTCTAATACTTTTTTTTTACGCCAACCTATAAAAAATTTTTTTCAGAAAAATGATCATTTATCGGAGTTTTTCCCAGGAAATTTTTTATGGGTTGCACACGTTGTCATGAGACGATTGGACAGTAGATCATTGTATGGAAAATATACATGTTACTAGATGAAGAATAATAACTGTAATGGGGTGGGTCATCGATTGTGAATAAATTTTAAAGTATTACAAAACATTCTCAAAACTTGTTAGAATTCTTGATAGATAGTAAATAAGTCTTTCTATTAAGTATCTTATAATTAAAAAAATTTTTTTTTATTCGGCCCCCAACAATTCTAGAATCAGGTTATGCACGGAACTTTAAATCATAAATAAAATGATTTTTTTATTTATATTATATTTGATTAAGAATTTTAAGAATTGTATTTTTTTGAGTGTAATCGATAAATCTTACCATTTTTATTTACTGTATGTTATCTGTGTATATTTAAGATATATTATGAGAAATTTTTAATTTTTGCTTGAAGTTTTCACTTAAAGAGATTGATAAAATTTATCCATCAATCTTTTATGAGCCTGATCGAGCTTTTTTTAATCTAAACTATAGATATTTTTTCATAATAAAGACTATATAATATATATTTAATTTATTCGGGTTTTGATCAATAGAAAGGATATACTGTACATGTAACTCTAATCCTTGCAAGGATAAATAAAGCTTGATTTTATTGACTATTTTTTTATAATAAAGAATTCAACTGTAATCATAGTAGATCAATACTGATATATGAATCAACAGATGAAGATAATCAAATTTTTTTACATTTAAATAAAATCACTTTTATGTTTGGTATCTTTTCTTTTTGTTTATTCATTTTTTAAATGAATTTACAAGAAAGTCTTATCATTTGTCTATTATAGTTTCAAATTTGGTACGGGCTAAATTATTATTTTTTTCGCATTAAATTTGGAATATAATAAATATAACGTACTTAATGTGTTTGCAAACATATTATCATGCAAAGGGGTTCCAAATGAGTTTCATGTTAAAGAATGAATAATTAGAAACAGGAAGAATGCAACTTTGAAACTGGCATTTTTTCGGAAAATTTCCGGTAGTTTTAAAAATTTTTCTTATATTGTCAATTAAAAATTAATTTACTCAATTTATATTAAGCTTCAAAATATTTACTAATCAATTCAAAATTGATGATTATTTCCTGGTTTGGTAATTTTTTTAAATTTTATCGTGATTTTCTGTTATATCGTTGCGCAGAGCACAGCCACAAACTATACAATTTATGTTCCACCTACTTTACATATTCATAAATTGTATGTATGACAAAGAATATATCGACCGAATATCTGCAATTTTACTAATAAAAATCCAAGATATTGAATTTTAGGTGCGATTCATTACTCGAAAAAAAAAGTTATAACGATAAATAACATTTATTTTTTTTCTTATCAAATTTGGAATAAAAATCTTTCAATATTCTTCACGGTAGCCTTTGAAAAATTCACCGACAGAACCAATTATTCACCTTAGAACTTCCAAAACATAAATCGTTCTTCACTTGCTCGGGTTGTAAAGTTGAGTCATTCAACTTTGTGAAGGCCTGAAGGGCAGCTCTGTTGGTTAATTTATACATGTGTATATAAAATTTACGTATTACTTTTAGTTTATCGCTAGCCATTTTTCTGTGCACCGTATACTGCGAGTTACAAATTTCAGGGCTAACTTTGTACCACTATTAATTGCTATTATGAATAAAATGCTTGTATATGGTGCAAGTAAACTATACTCGACAATCACGTGATGATGTTTCAGCAAGTTTCATATCACGTGATCAGACCTTGTCCAATAAAAAATGAGAATTTTTATATGTTAAACTGTTTCGTACATAATATTTTATCTGTTATGTCAAAACGAAAAATTTATTCATTGAAACTCTTCATATTTAAATTACATGGTATTGTAATATATAACAACCTTTTTTCCTAGGTATCTTACTAACTTGTTGTTGTCATTTTGTTTTGCATCAGTAAATGTGTGATGATTTTCTCATAAATCAGAAGGTTTTCTCAATTTTCTCATCAAATGAATGTGATAATTCGGTCCAGCATTGAAATATCATAATTTCGGCCTGAATTATAAAATTTTTGACCAATAAGATAGGGCACGTGTGATTCAATTTGTTTCAAATTTAGGCCGATCATATAAAAATTGGTTAGTTTTAAAAGCCTATAACTTTTTATACAGATCTTTTTTCAAATATCTGACCGGTAATTTGATAGTACTTGTCTTGAAGAATAAAACTACCAGTTTATTTTCTTTAAAATTTATTTTTTAAAATTTTATAAGATTTTTTAGTACTACAATTTTATTGTTGAGTATAGTTTACTTGCACCATAGTAATCAGAAAAATATTTATATATAATGTCTGGGTAAAAATATTTTCTTTAAATAATAGAAAATGGAACCTTTTTTCGAATGAAAGAGGAGCGAATATTATGCATGGAGGACTTTGGCCCGCAATAATAATAATAAATTTGTGATAAAAATTGAACGATAATGGCTTACTGTAAATAAATACCTTTTATTCTATCTTTCGTTATTGTCATACAGAAAAAAAAATTGTCATTGATACGATTTGTTTAAAATAGTTCGGCTATTACGGTACATTATTGAATGATATTTAGTGAATCGAAAATAAAATTTTAAATTTTTTATAAATAAAACCCTTGAAAGAAAAGAGGAAAATTTTTTATTTCAACATTATAATATGTGATACGTGATACCATATATTAAATAACCATTGTTAACGTTGTTCAAAAAAAATTTTAAGGTTTGCAAAGATGAAACTTATTTTTTAATTTCTTACGAAGAAAATTTAAAAACTTTATCCATGAAAAATGATAAAGTGTGTAATGCACAGCATACAGTGATACAGTTTATAGTATACTGTATATTTATATATATACGATTACCATATAGTTAGATAATCTATTCTTTTCGATGGTACAGATAGTAAAGAGAGGAAAATGGTTAATTATATTATATAAAATAAATAATTACAATTGGATTTATGTCCTTTTACATCATAGTCAGTGATGTCTTCACGCATTTAATTAAATTATTTGCAGTAAATCAATGAAGGATATTATTAATGATGAACGAAAAATAAGACTTACAATCTTAGCGTAAAAAAAATGATGAACGGAAATAACTACAAAATTATTAAAATTATTCCGGTTACCTGTTTATTTTATTTAAATTTTTTAAAAGACGCCCTTTAAAATTTATCAATAAAGAAAAAATCTAATTTTAGTAAAGAAACAATCAGATAATAAGTTTCTTCTTATAATTTAAAACTGAAGATATATATTGGAATATTTAATGAAGAAAATTTGCTCTTTTACTGTTAAAAAAATCTTGCATTATAATATTTACGTTCTTTTAAAATTTAATTAAAACAAAATGGGCCTAATCTTTTAATATTTAATGAGAGTAATATTATATTTAAATAGTAAAGTTTCTTATAATATTTATAAAAATTTAATAATATAATTAATATAATTCAATATATATATATATAGGAAGTTTGTTACGCCACACAAATTAATTACATGAGGCGCAGCAAATTAGGATTTAGGATGAACTAAATTCGCTGATTAACTAACTATAATTCAATAAACATGTAACTAACAAATTAGAAATGTATACAGTATACTAAACTTGCTTATTTTCTTGTAAAATCATAATTCTTAAAATGAAAATTACTACTAGTACTTTTAAGTATTCCGAATAAAATGCGAATATAAAAATAAAATTAAAATTTGTTCACTAAGATAAAATGAATAAAAGTATATTAAAAAAATACAATGAAAATAACATTTTAATATTTAGTTAAGTTTAACGAAAAGTTTACTACTGTATTTAAGTTGCCTACTTTATTTAGTAAAATCCAAACCGCCAAAAAAATTCAGCAATCAATAAATCATGTGTAATTTGTTGAGGAAGGCTGGTAATGTTCCTCAATAATACATTTCCATTACTGCTAGGTGTATTTCGAATATGCCTTCTATACATCTTATTTATAATTCTTTGTTTTTTGAGAAGGCATTTTGACGGTTATATTACTTATATATATATATTTAATATATAAATTGTTCAACTGGTGTGTTTATATAATATTTTGAAATCACAATATTGTATATTATAATTTTGAAAGAGATTGTATTTCATGTACGGTATATTTCTTTAAATTAGGAACCGATATATATATCACCATAGAGGCTAGTAAATTGAACTCGAAGAAACTTATTCAGTCCGTTATGAATATTGATCTCAAAGATAAGGAACCGTTTAGCCTGCCCAAGATTCAAGTGAAAATTTTATTTTAAAGTTTTTACTACATATGTATAATGAAAATAATTCGCGTATTTAATTGGACTGTCATAACAACTAAATAAAGCTAGATATAACGAGCGGAACATAACATCGCAATTAATATTTACTGCTAAATTGAAGAAAATCAAAAAAAAAATAGTAAATACCGTATAATATTAATATCTTATTTAGAAACAAAATTTTTAAGATAAATTGATAAGAAAGGAAACGCCAATCATAATGATATTTTAAATATTTGGTTAACAAAATCAATCAACAATCTTATAATTACTGTAGTAAGGATTATGTAAATAAAATATAAGTATTACTTATCCCCTGCCATTTACACAATAGTAAGTATTTTATAGTATATCGTGAGTATAAATATAGTATATTTTATTGTGAATATTATTTTCTTTTGCTTGGTTTTTTTTTCATTTTAAAAGATTTTAAAAAGCTTACACTTGAAAATAATATTGAGATTACGAATAAATTATCATTTGGAAAATGCAAATCTTTCTGAATTACTCAAATTTTCTAATCCGTCTATTAGTATAGTATAATACTGTAAATAGTTAATTTTTACTTGGAACGGTAAATAAATACATATAAAATTTCTACCCGGTAGGTATAACTACATTTGCATAATCGTGTGAATGGTGCCGATTAGGGATAAATATTATTGTATTTTGAATCTTAAAATATAAATGATATTATAAACATTTATCGTAAAGTCAGTTAAAAAATAAACAGAGTCTAACTAATACCTAATATTGTAATCACACTGACTTGATACTTTCATATTAAAATTTTAAATTAAATACATATACGAGCGAAAGAAAGCTTAATTTTTAGGGAGTCATAATCATAAAAAATTTGTAATTTAAAAATAATATAATAATGTGTGCCACCATAAAAATACGTTAAGAAAAGAATTGCCAACGATTACAATTTAGTATGACGATTCGTTTAAAAAATAATGTTCACTTTTTGCCTGTCATATTTGCCAATTTATTTAATATTAACTGCCAAAGAAATTTTAAAACGTAAATCCGTTGAAAAACTGATTTCTTACGGTTTGTCGAGGAAGATTTATTATCCGATTTATAAATCTTGCATGACCACATTGTTTTCTTATAAGTCGATTTCGCCTTCTTTGCCTTCTTTGTTTAGCCTGTCGTAATCCAAATGTTTCAACATTGATTAAAGGTCTATTTACCAGGCATGTATTATTTTAGAAAAAGATTTGAAATTTTTATTGTTTAGAAAAATTACCGAATGAATTAATATAATATGATGTTAAGTTTAATATCAAAGTAACTGATCTTACCTTAAGGAAATTCCTTGATACAATTTTTTTTTGTGACGAATCTTGAGTCGATGTTCTCTACTAAAATTTAATTGAATTGACTTTTGTCTAGTAGGTATAGATATGCCAATTTTATTGACCGAATCTCCAACACTCTTCAACATTTTAGGAATATGGAGAAGACTAATATAGTGAAAATAAAATTGCAATTTTAGGTCATTCTTTTTTGAAGGCAAATTACCTTTAAAAAGTAATTTAATTTTCTGAGAACTGTAAATTTCGAATTGATAAGTCAAATTTTGATCAAATTTCTTCAAGAGATTTTGAACTTTTTGAAATAGTTTTATATCGATAAAAATGGTCCCTGGGTCTATCGATGCATTCACATAAGAATTTTTTTCGATAATAGACCGGTTTCGATGAGTTAATTCTAAATTGAACATTTTTTTAAAAATTATAATTGAGGGACAAGTTCCAAATTCAAGGAGAAACTGGGTACTTTATATAAGGTTTATAATTTTATTAATTATCAATTTATGGTTAGAATTTTGAAAATCATTAAAATATTTTGTTGATATAGTTCATATTTTTTTTTTAATTCATAGTTGAAGATTTTTTCTTTTTACAGTTTTGTTGACCCGAAAAAGTGATACAATGACGTGTTTTGATATACTAAATATATTGGGAACAAATCACTGATTAATTTTGCATGAAAATGATCACGTGCATATTGCAGATCTGATCAGTTTTAGATGAATTATGATTAATAATTTTTTTTTTTTAAAGTAAATAACGACTAAATAACTAAATAAATAAAAAAGCGACTAAATAATAAATAATAAATTCATAAATGAATGAATGAATAAAGCACAATCGTTGTTTTGGAACGGATAAAATTTCTTTGTGTAACGTAACAAAGAAAACCTGGCCGAAAATTGATCATTGAATAGGACTTATTATCATGTTCTTTTTTTTAGTTATAGTAACTATGTTAAGAACATTATATATTGACTTAATGACTTAATATTTACTATTATGCTTTGTCTTTTCGATTTATGTTTGGCAAACTTATGATACTGTTGAATACCTTGTTAAATTAATATATGAACATGAGAAGGAGCTCAAAAAAGTATATAAAATAGGAATATCAATAGTCACACCAATAACACTTGCTAGAATAGTTCGTGTGATGTAACGTAAAGCTAATTTCTCATTAAACGTTGAAACGCCAAAGTTGCGCCTTAAATTGCGTATATATTGCTTAAGAAGGAAACTTACATATGGAAGTAGCGGAACACGTAAAAATTTCCCAATTAATGTGATTACGAATTCGTCCTTTTAATCTTGATCAATTAAAGACAATTGTTGTTTTATTTTATTGTTCTGCATTTTTCATTGAATCTCTTCCATAAGTGAAATTATTTATGTGTTAACCATTTAGTATTGTTGTTTAAATATTAACTGTCAGAATAATAAAAAGCTCCGACGGACTTAGAAACATTTATTTCCTAATTTTTTTATATATATAAATATTAAATACAATATCTATTGATTGTTACAATCATTTTTATCTTGTATAAAAAAAAAATCGCTTTTATGAAGTACTGTAAAAAATCTCTATTCTGTCTACACAAATAAAAAATCCACATTAATTTCGTATGGTGATATAGCGTTAGATATATTCTTGTCATACATACAATTGAAAATCCAATTGATGTACGTGGAACATTAATTGCATAAAGTCATACAGTAGTGGCTGTGCTCTGTTGATTATAAAAATTGAGTAAATCAATTTTTCATGTATCTAGTAAGAAAGAAAACTTCCGATAAAAGAAGGAACAAACGCCAATTTTTCAAAGTTGCATTCTTTCCATTTTTAATTATTCCTTAATGTGAACTTATTTGGAACTCATTTGCATGATAATATGTTTGCAAACACATTAAGTACATTAAGTAGTACATTATATTCGTCATATTTTAAATCTCATGTGAAAAAAATAACCCGTACCGAATTTGAAACTATAATAGATATTAAAGTACAAGATAAGACTTTACCAACCATAAAATGATTTTTTTTTAACTTGTAAAAAAATTGATCATTTGTTGATTTATATTATCAGACGTATCGATTACAGTCAAATTCTTTTTTATAAACAATAATCAAGATTTACTATCTTTGCAAGGACCTTTCTATCGAACACAGTAGTCTTCATTATTAAAAAACTAGTTTAAATCAGAAAAAGCTCGATCAGACTCATAAAGATTGATGGATATAAATTTATCAATCTTGTTAAATTGACTTTAAAGTATAATAAAAAGCTCCGACGGATTAAGAAACATTTACTTCCTCAAATTTTTTTTTTTTTTACATACATATTAAATATAATCTTGTATAGCTTTTATTGTTGAAGTACTGTAAAAAATCACTAAAAATATAAAAAAAAACTACGTTAATTTCGGACACAAAATAATTTCCTTTTTACTTTCTGTATGTATATTTTTATTTCTGTTGATATCATGAATATTATTTATTTTCTTTATTAAATTCCTTTTTTGTTATAGCTGAAATTCCTTTAATTAAAACTTTTTTGGAGAGTACCTTCATCACAGAATGAATAATCAAAAGATGATCCTTTCTATGGGATAGCACAAATGTACGGGATGGAAATTCCCCGAAAATCACGTTACACGACACTAAGTCAATCATTTGTGCAGACTGCAGAACTTTAAAAATTCGCTAAATTACGATGTAGAAAAATTTTATTTAATATTTGTTAAGCCTTTAAACCATCATATTAAATAATTTATTACGGAAGGCGAAATTCTTGCACTCTTTGAGTATTAGTTTCGAAAGACTTAAGACTTATCGTTATTGAACCTCATTTGCCTTTATATAAAAAAAGTGAAACAATATTTTTTTTTCTTTTTTTTTTCTCGAAAATTCATTATGTATCTCCTGCATAATTTCTATTCTCAATTTGGCCAATAAGGGAACACCTGATCTGGTAAATTATATGATTGATTTGGTAAATCAATCTCATAACTTTAAGGACAAATATAATCATGTGCAATCGGCCTTTTGTTATTGTTGCGCAAGTAAAGTAATACAAAGAATAAAAACAATATATACAAATAATTACGTCATCATTAAGTATAAATACAAATGTACTGTACTTCGTAAACTCGTACATTTGCTAAAATATTATATTTTTTTGATAAACCTTATTCTGAACTTTACCGAGTTTTACCGAATGTACCGGATCCCGTATATTATGAAATCGGCTGATAATACTGAATATTAAGGCGATCACTACTTGACTTGATTGAATCGTGCAAAATTAGTTACCAAAATTTCAACAAAATCGTAAAAATGTACTATCGAAATCGTATCAAATTTATAATGTATTTTCTAATTTGTAAATAAATAGTAAAGTATTCTTAAATATTTAAGTTATTGTTCTTTTTTGAAATTGTAAAGTTTTAGTAAATTATATTAGACAGCTTTGAAAAAATACATATTTCTAAAACTAAATATACTGTAACTAACTTCGAATAGATAAAACTTCATTCAATGTTCAAGGTCAATATTATGTAAGAAAGATGATGGATCAACTTCGGTCCTATATTTACCAATTTGCATGGAGATTTGCTTAACGTTTTATCAAGTGAATAGATTAGTACGAAGTCAGGTGAATTTGCTGGTCAATTTATTCCTCTCAACAAAAAAAAGTAGGATCAAAGAGTCAAGGCTCAAAGATCCGTTCTGGTACTATTCCTGAGTCAAAGCTGGATTCCTACAAAATATAAATAAATATAATAAAAAAAGTTTCCACATGCCCAAAGATCCAGTACCTAGGAAAAAAGCGACATTAATATGACATTTCATTAAATAAACTAAATAAGAAAATTCCATTACCTACCAAAAACTACATGTACAAATATCTGGTCATAAACTCATGAAATTGTAGATCTTCGGTGAATCAACTTGCAGAGTTGAATATGTTCTTTAACTTGAGTTTGTTCCTTAATAAATATAATAATAATATAATATTATCTATCGTGACGCCTAAAAAAAGTAAAGTGTCAAAAAATAAGATGATCATTAAAAGAAATAGATCAAAGGTACCCACCAAATCACATGCCGAGTGTCCAAAGATCTGATTTGCTAAAAAAAAAGAGAAGTATTGAAATATTAGAAAATATTTCGTTTAAAGAAGTATACTAAAAAATGTCTTACCAGAATTCTATACGTACGAAGACAAATCCTAAAAAAGAGGAAGATTAGTATCAAAGACAACAAGAAAAATACAAAAATACGCTTTGAATAAGCAGGAATTCCGCTTCGCTTTTTTTCATAAAAATGGTAAAAAAGGAAAATTGAATGAGACTTAGTATGTTATACATGGTAATCCTCTTTTAACTAGTATTGTTTTGTTAAATAAAGAACCATCAAAATATAACTAACCAGCTGTTTATTTTTCTTATTATGATTTCTATTGTTTACAGTCCAGACCGACACACTTTGAATTTTCAAATATATAAAGTTAGATATAAATGTTTATGAACTTAACTAAAATAGTTAGTAATTCATCGTATATGCCTTGTTAAATTTATATATAAAAAAATAGTATTATAATGACCGAAGAAAGTTAATAGTTATTTTCCAGTTACCTTCTTGAAATATGGTCAAAAGTATCGAAAAATCAAATGAATAGATTAATTTTTTAGAAACTGCTCAATCAAAAGCGAGAAATAATTGGGAAGTTATAGCCTATGAGAAATTAATAAATATAAAATATCTCACTCAGGGTGGTTTTAGTATTATTTACAAGGCTATATGGTTAGATGGATATATACTTTGTTGGAATGATAGCAAAAAAGAATGGGTTAAATATCGTCATCAGCTTGATTAAAAATTCACATCTCCTGTTGTTCTTAAGAGCTTAAATAATTCTACGTAAAGATTTTTAAATGAGGTAGGTAATTAGTTTTATAAAAAAAATAAAGAATAGGCAAGAGTCAAAACGAACATAGTACCGGCTGGAATAACAAAATGTCCAGTTAGTACTGTTCTTCGAATCAAAAATTTCGATCGAGTACGAGTTTGACTTCAATCAACTTGAGTTCGAGTACGAGTCTAGGCGGGAGTTAAATCACGTGATAGTAGTAAAAATAGTGTCACTTTTCATAATACCGGCCAAAAATCTGTCCAAATCATGCAATTAGCTCTGCTTTGATAACCTAATATAAACTTCGTACAAACATTCTAATTTTATACAATATATAATAATAATAATAATAATAATAATATTATTATTATTAGTGGAACAATTATTTAGAATCTTATATTCAGCTATAAATAAATATGCAAATTTTGGAAAAATTTTTGGGATAATTCAAGATCCGGAAATAAAAGATTACGTTATTATATTACAAATAAATAAAAAAAAAGAGTTTAAGAGATATAAGGTTATTAATTCCGAAAATATGAGCCTTTTACGGAAAAAAGATGAAATATAAAACACGAATCGACTTTTTTTATAAGGTTGATTTATGTATTAAATGTATATACCATTGCAAGGATTAAAGTTACTGAATGTACATTATAATATTATGTACATGTCGTACCGATATTTAGTATAGTAATATTTGAATTTATTATAATTGCGTATAAGAATTATACATTAAATTCATTCCCTATAAATAATTTTTCAGAGAAATGATCACGTGTCTGAGTTTCTTCGGAATAAAACTAGAAAAATAATCATTTATCGGAGTTTTTTCCAGAATTTTTTTTATCTTAGATCTAATATGATAAGTATAATTTAAAAATAATCATTCTGTTGTTATTGCACGGGTGTGGCACTTCAAGCACGCCCGTGCAATAACATATAATTAATAAATTTATATCACGGAATTTATCGAATTATTTACATTTCCGTGAATGGATCTGTGAAAGGCTCGTTTTTACGGAGTTTTACAGAAATAAAGGATAAAATTTTTTATAGGGTAACAGATAAGAGATAATCAAATTTTTTTTTACAATCTTAGTTAAATAAAAACATTTTATGATTGGACATTTTTTTATTTTTCAAATGAATTTAAAATTAAGTCTTATCATTTTTTAATGTCTATTAGTACATTTTCAAATTCGGAACGGTTTAAAGTAATTTTTTTTTCGCATTAGATTTGTAATTGTAAGCATATTATCATGCAAAGAAGTTCCAAACGAGTTTAACGTCAAAGAATAATTAGAAGCAGGAAGGATGCAATTTAAAAAAATTGGCGTTTTTCCTTCTTTTATCATCGGAGTTTTCCGATATTTTCAAAAAGTTTTCTTAGATTATCGATTTAAGCATGAAAAAATTAAATTTATATTGAGCTTCCAAAAATTGATGATTATTATCCCATATATATTTCTTTGTGACCGAATACCCTGAAACTGTACAGTTGAACAGAGTCACGAACGTCACATAACGTATGCATTTGATGTTTCACGTATTTCAATTTAATCTACTTATTTGGTAAATTGTATCATGTATGACAATAATATATTAATTCATTTTTTAACAATAATTACGTACTGTAAATAAATACTTTTTTTTTTTTTTTATTATTGTCATGCAGAAAAAATTATGATTTATCAGTTATAAAGAATTAGGCTAAATCGAAAATAAAATCAATTTTTTAATTTTTTTTGAAAGAAAATAGGAAATTTTATTTATGTGATACATTGATATCATATATTAAATAAGTCCATGATAAGATCGAGACTTGTAATAATTTAACTTTTACCATAAAAATATTTATTCGGAAAAAGTATAATTATAAATTATGTCCGTCGAAAATAATTGAATCTTTCCATATCTAATATTACTATAGTAAATAACAACCGTTTAATTGTTTATATTTTATAAATTTTTTTCATACGCCTTTCAAAGTTTATCAACAAAGAAAAATATAATCTTAGTTAAGAAACAACCAAATAATAAATGTCATTTTTAAATATTTTCATTTTTTATTTTCCTTTTTTGTCATTACGAATGGCGTCTCTTTAGGAGTCCTGTCCATTATTAAAATAAGCTGTAAATTTTAAACCAAAAATAGCATTATTCAAAAAATATGTGAAACATTCTTGCCGAAAATCTCGGTTTGCGGCAATTTGAAAAAAATAAACAAATAATAAACAATATTTATGTGCTTGTCACATGTTACATTTGTTTATCGTTTTGCGGCACAACCCGCAAAATTCTGAGTCTCGATTAATATTTTGTTTTGATTTTCGCTTCCAATGCTGATCATCTCTAAAAAGTGTATAATTTACATTTGGTAACTAATAATTTTTTTAATTTATCATTAATTCGTAACTAATGTAATCTTAACTGAAAATAGTATCACGAGACATTAAACTTTTCCTTATAGGAATAAGTAAATGATTTGATAATCTAGGAAAGATCCATTAAGATCTATTAAATTTAAAGAAAATTGTTCTTGAATAAAACCTTTAATGATAACTATATTAATATTTTCAGAATTTTATAAAATAAAATAATGTAATATAATAGATTTATAGTACTACTAATTTAATCACTTTGGTGGAAAAATGTATAAATATAACAAAAAAAATTCTTTTCTTCCACATAAAATTTACAATGAATCATTCAAATAATATTTCTCAAGATTCTTCAAATCAAACATTTTACTCAACTAACAATCGTGAAGAATCCTTTTTTATGGAAAATGCTTCAACTCAATCCTTTCCTGTGGCCAACTCATCTTCTTATCGTATTCTTCGAAACCGTCGAATTCAAAGAAGATTAAGAAATGGAAATATAGATACGTTGTATCGCATTAGACAATTATCAAGACAGAACACACAGAACACGAACAACCAAATTGCAGGCCTTTTCTTTAATGGATCTACCTTCTTTTAAAGATGATTATATTCGTAAAATATCTTATTTTTAATTCAAATAATTCTTTGAAAACTTACCTTTAAATTTAATTATTTTTCCGATTCGTATTTCAAATTATCATTACCGAAATTTAAATTCGTACATAACTTATTTTTACATTTGTTTGTTCCTTTCAATTATTTACGTCTTCCCATTCAAAAACAATATTTATTTTTTCTTTTTCCAAAAAGAAACGTTCTTGAATATCTCGGAGAAAGTTCACGTTTATAGTTTATACGAAACTAGTATCAAATTGATCAATTTGTTTAATTAAATTTTATATAAATGAATTGAATATTATTTTTTGTTTAATTATATTTATTTACTATCCGTTCAGATCGTTCGATTAATAATGTCGGTATGTTTTTTCCACAGAATTCTTCGCGTAATTTATACATTCTTTTTTTTTTTACCAAAAAAAGAACTGTACAAGTAGTATTTTTTCACGTGATTTTATTTTCCTAAAGTTCTTAAGAGTTTTCGTTAAAAAAAAATGACATGTTGTTTTTTATATCGTTTATTTTTAAATTGAAAGTAATTAATAGATAGCTTTGATTGCTAAAGTAAGAAAATTATTATAGCTATTTTAAGATTTTGTTTTTCTGTTATAATCTATAATAAATATGACAATTTTTTTATACCTAATCGCAAGATCACACTTAATTATTGTATAAATAATACATTGAAGAAATACGTGTAATAAAAAATAAAATACTTAAATGAAAAATCGCTTTGATTATACAAATATTTATTTCAGCGGTACAACGATAATGAGTATGATATGACCCTCGTTGTATGTATGAACTATGGTCAAATATCAGCTATACTGTATAGAATTTTAATATGAAAGTAGGTACCATACTAATCATACATGCCAATTTATAGCACCATACCTTATATACAATGGAGATCATATCTTACTCATTATCTATATTCTCTTATTTCCGGAATATTTTTAAATCTGAATATAAATCTTAATATTATATAACAATATAAGAAATTCGCTTATTAACCTTCGTTATTTTTTTTTCTGCATACTAGATTTCCTTTAAAAAATCGTTCATCCCTTATTTTATTTGAAAATAGCATATTAACTGACCACTCGATCGCTCTAAGACCTGTCTGTTTTGACATACGGTAGAAATGTGTTAGTACCTTCGATCTCTTAAATTCCTAGACATTAAAATTATTTTGCGAAGAAACATTATTCATAGCTTTATTATTTTTGATCAATAATACATTTTGGAATTGGGCATGGAGTAATAATTTGGAAAAAGATATATTGTGACGTAAGGTATGATATATCAAGAAATGTTTCTTTATAAATTATGATATAATAATATATGTTTAAGTATTATTGTATATTGTATGGACCTTAAATTATTTCGGTAATTTTTTAACACAATCATGTACAATTTCTTGTTTGTAACTTTCTAATTTTCTTATTACAAATTCTTGTGCAATAAATATCAGAACTTTTTTTATACAATTTTATGATGATCAAATTCGTTATCATGGTAGTATTTTTTATAGTCGAAATTAATATAGTCCAAATTGTTAAGGAAAGTTTAAAATTAAGTGGTACATTATTATTATTGCCAAAAATATATGTAAATAGCTTTCTAGTCATATATAAATAATTTATATTAAGGGCATGATATATGATTGAAGTAATTGAATTTCATAAATTTATTGATGTATCATAATCAAAAATTTTATATTTATAGTAACTCGCACATAAATCCTTCAAAAAAATTAATAATTTATTAATATCTTGTTCACGACATTGTTGCAAGTTGGGTCTAGACTAACAAACAGAAGAATAATATTATATTTCGGAGAATTGTAATTACATGTGATATGCATTCATATTTCTGCGGAAACGTAATTGGTGTAACATCGGTTTCTACCGAAAAGAAATATTTACCGCTGATGACCGAACTATCTAAGTTATCTAA